TGTAATCTTTCTAAATCATAATAAAAATATTCAGCCATGGTCTTCCAAATGAGTTAATAACATGGTAGGTATTTTATTTTTGTTTCTTAAAATAAAATATTTTATATTGACTGTTGTCTTTACTGTTGTGTTTACTTTAGGATTGCTTTATTGTTGGCAAGTTCTTTTTAAAATGAAAATGATTATGTTTTGGAATATTAAGTCAGATGAATAAAAAAAAGCAATTGCTTTTACTTAGTAATTGCTTAACTGTATGTGAATAAAAATTTGAGCTATTTTCCTCAAATTTTTGTTCATGTAAAGCTGTACAATTACTCTAAATGAAGCTGTGGAAAAAAAATCACTTTTTTTTATTCACCTGGCCTATTGACAAGTACATTTATAATTTTATTAATACTTTTTCATTTAATTTAAGAACTTAATATTCCAAATTTTTCATTTAATATTAATATTTTTATTAATATTAATTTTACTTAATATTCCAAAACTTTTTCATTTTAAAGTAAATTAAGAGTCTGAATTAATATTATAAAATGTCTAAGAAAAATTGCACTTTCAATAGTGAGTGGCTAATAGATTCTAGATTTTCAAATTGGATATCTGCAGACAAAACTGTATTGAGTGCAAGGTGTAGACTTTGCATGTGTAGTATTAGTTTAAGTAACATGGGAATTGGAGCAGTATTGAGTCATGGGTTGGGAAGAAACATCTTAGAAAGGCAGAAGAAACTAAAAGCATTGGTATCCTTTTTGACAAACTACCAGCTCCGATAGAAAATTCATGTTCATTTAAAGCACCTTCAAAAATTTTAAAATCTATTGAATCGTACATTGTTCTTGCCTGCACTCTTAACGCAGAAATACTGTGGACTTTAAAGGTTGTTGTGTTCCACTATTCACTTAGATCATGTACTGGTTTAAGTGAATTATTTAAACTTATGTTTACAGATAGCGAAATAGTAAAAGGTTTTTCATTGAGTTGAACAAAATGTAGCTATTTAATAAACTTTGGAATGTATCCTTATCTCAAAAATGCATTAATTAAGGAAGTTCAGCTATCACCATTTTTTGTTGTCTCCATGATGAGTCTATGAATCGTATACTTCAAGAGGAACAGAAGGATATTCTAATTCGATATTGGAATGAGTCCTTAAGTGTCGTTGAAACTCGTTATTTGGGTTCAAAATTTTTAACAAATTTTCATTAATGAAAGTCTTAGCAAAAGCCAAAGCTTATCACTGAAGAAATTGTTTGTGTAAAAAAGAAAAAGAAAGATATTCAATTGTGTATCTTTACCCTAAACAAAGAAATTTAACGTTTTAGCATTAAAGCACAAGAATCTAATTTCATGGAATTATTAGTCAAAGCCAATGCTTTCAGGTGAAAGTAAAAGAAAAGCAAACCCTTATTGAACAGCTGGATAATGCAATTATTAAATTAGAAACAGATTTTAAAAAGAGTTAGTTTTACATAGATTTATTTTTATAGTTTGTTTTGTTTAACATTTTAAGTTGAAAGTATTTTTGTAAGTCATTTTATATTTTGATAGATAGTTTTAATGCAGTGAAGTACTTTTGATTTTTTCAAATATTTATTTTTGTTCAAAATTAAAAACTTCGTTACTTTAACCATTCATATAAAAGATTCATATCTATAATTCTTGCACAAAAAAGTTATACTTGATAGTTGTTTGTTATTCAGAAACCTAAAATGTTTAGAGTAAAGTTATGTTAGCAATTAAAGAGATCCTAAAAGTACTTAAATTGCAGGTCAAATGTTTTGGGAAAATCTACTTGGATCAGCCATTTTAAATTCCTATTTTAAAGTTTTATATCCTTCATCAAAGTAGATTCTCTTAAAATTTTTTTTTGTGACTTAAGTACTTTTAGTACTAAGCTCTTCAATTATACTCTGTGTTATGTGGATAAAACTGTTATTTGAGTTTATTATTTCAGTTTATCTAATAAAGATTATTTTATTCATTTTTGTAAAATAGTGTGCATATCTTAGATAAAATATATATGTAAAAGATAAAATATACATTCTTTAAAGATATTAAAAATGTAATTTTTTTGAATCTGTTCAAAAATTAGAGTTTGTAAAAGTAGTTAGTAGTAGTGAGTTAGGGTAAAACACCTAGTAAAGATTATTTTATTTATTTTTGTAAAATAGTGAGCATATCTTAGATAAAATATATATGTAAAATATAAAATATATATGCTTTTTAAAAGATTAAAAAATGTAAAAAAGTTAAAAAATTTTGTAAGAGTAGTTAGTAAGAGTTAGGGTAAAACACCTAGTACTCCATGCGTTCTTATTTTTGCTACTTGTTCTCTTAAAAGATCACGTGCCTTTATTTTTAAAGTTACAATTGTGATACTTCAGTATAATCAGTCAGTTCAAACAAAAGATTTTTTTTCAGACATGATTTTAGAACTTTCTAACAATTAGTTTTTGGTTTGTGAGTTTTTGCAAGTGGCAACAGCTAGGTGCATGGCAAGTACTAAATACTAAATGTTTTACACTAGTGATTTATCATAACACTTTATAAAGAGTCATGGAAAAGTCATAGAATTTCATTTTCAGATTTGAGTGGCCGCCCTGTACTAATAGATGTCATTAAAAAATTATTCAATTTAGAAAAACCACAAAGAAGTTTTCTTAACCCTGAGAGTTTTGTTTCCAACCCTGCTTTTTTTAATGGTGCAAAGAATTTTCTTACATCAAGAGGCTGTACTAAATGTGTTAAATGAAGAAGTCACAAAAACAAAGATTAGATATCTTTGGTTTTTCACAAGCATTTATAATTCCTTGGCTCAAATGAGAGGAGATATTGTTACCTATTAACACTTTTTTTCCAGTTTGTTTTCTTTACACATGGTAATAATTTTCTAAAAAACTATTCCTCAAAACTAACTTTGTCAATCCAATCAAAACTAGTTCTATTAAAGCGAGAAATTTTTGAACCATGTTATATATATATGACTTTAAAAAACTGTGTATGATGATAGAATTTCTCCTACACTGTTTCCACAAAACATCCTTAAGGAGAAGCAAACTTTACTGCTGTTCATTATTCTCTTCAGGTACTTCATTCTACATTTCATAACAACTTTTATATGTTCACACAAACTGGTTTCAACATAATTCCAAATGTTGCAAAGTGAAATTTCTTCAATCTTATGCTTAATGTTTTCAAAAAATTTTTTTAGTTCTTTAATTATAGCTAAACTTTTTTTTTTAATGTTTAATGCGCAATTCAATGGGTAACTGCAGGTTTAAGTTCATTAAAATTTGAAATCTAATCATCAACAGAAATATTGTTTAAAAAGATTTTTCTGTACAATTTTGCGGATTTAAATAAGCAGCAACTAACATTTTTGACATTAAGTTTATCTAATGGAAATCCTCAATTGGATTTAATCATATTTCTAGTTGAAAATAAAAGATCCTCATCAGGAGTGAATATTGTTGGTGCACCAATGCACTTTTTATGCTTTGAATTGATTTTATTATAGATAGTACTTCTTGGTATATTAAACCTTTTTGAGGCTTGAAAAGTAGACATTCCTTTATAAATTACTTCCATACACTCTTTAAAACACTGGTGCTAAAATGTTGTAGTTACGTTTTCCTTGTAAATTTAGAAAACATGTTTATTATATTTACAAGGCATTTAAAATAAAAATAAGTATAAGTAACATAAACAAACTCTGCAGTTTGTAGTTGCACTAATAAATGTGCAATTTATTAAATTACTTCTGAACTTAATAAATTAAAATTTATAGTTGACTGTCACATAGTTATCACATTAGTTACTTATTGTACACTATTCAACCTTTGCGTAGATTTAATAAAAATATTGTCTTAAAAAAGGTAAAAAAAAAAAAACAGTTCAGCTTGAAAATAAATAACTTTAAAAGTCATAATGTAATATAATTCAATGAGATAACATCTTTTTAAATAAAGATTCAAGTAAAATAAATAATGTTCAGACTACTGTAAAATGAGTATTATTTAAATTGTCAACGTTACCCCTAAAAATTATAAACCTTTGGGATAACTTTGACCACCCTTTAATAAAACCAAGAATGTTGTTGTTTAAGCCAAAACAAAAATTGTATATTATATTTGAACATTTTTTTAAAAAATAGATGTAAAACTGTTTTGTTTGATCAAATTTTTATCTTTGCCTAGACAACATTTTGTTTCATATTTTTTGGTTGTATTTTACTTAGATATAATTTTTATTCTTTTACTTAGATATAGTTTTTATTCTTTTGTTTTTATATTAAAGAGCATTTGCAACAAATTTCACTTTTCAATTTTTGCAAGAAGAATTGTATTTATAAATAAAACAAAAATATCACCACTTTACTTATTCGTTTAAAAATTAAAGTTGTTTAACTAGAATATTCAAAGTTGCCCTGTTTTATGGTAAGCATATATATATATATATATATATATATATATATATATATATATATATATATATATATATATATATATATATATATATATTTGTGTGTGTGTGTATATTAGATATTTTTTTATTTTAAGGTCAAGAAAAGATACAATGTACCATGGAGTCTAATCTGCTGTGCCAACCTTTATTTTATTAGTAGAAATTTTTATTAAAACTTGGACTACTCTTAGGGGTTGCTCTTAGGGTTAAATGTTCTTAATTTAGACCTTTTAAACCTTATTTTTAGTACACATGAGCAAGTTAATTCAAAATAGTTTTCTTTTTTTCCCTAAAGTTTCTTTTCAGTAATAACGAAACAATTTAAATAGTAATTTTATTTAGTTAAATTTTTATATGAAATATTTTATATGACTGTTAGCAAAATTGTAATTTATGTAATTTGTAACTTTATAATCCTTAAGATTTTCAAGTCTGTGGTACCTTTTATCTTTTTAGGACCTCAAAATGAAACAATCAAAAATATACAGATATATTAAACTGTTTCATTTAATATAATTAAATTTTTTTTTAAACAGATATGTAGATCCTTCATCTTTTGTTGAATGTCTTGGATTACAAACAAATGAACAGCAAGATGCTCAGGAGTTTAGCAAACTTTTTATTACACTTCTTAATAATGCATTTTCTTCTCAAGATGGTTTTCTTTCTAATATAATTCATTCACAGTTTGGTGGACAATATAAGTATGAAACTAAATGTAATGTGTGTCTGAACAAATCAGTCACATGCTCAGATTTTTATGAGCTTGATTTAAATGTTAAAGGTCATAGTTCATTGCATGGTTGCTTAAAAGAATTCTTGCAAGAAGAAATCATGGAAGGTGAAAACCAATATTTTTGTTCTATTTGTTGCTGCAAGCAAAATGCTTTACGTAAAATTGTATTGGAGAAATTGCCACCTGTTTTGAAGCTAAATCTTCTTCGATTTGTGTTTGAAAGGTTTTTATGAGTTTTTTTTTTTTTTTTTAACAATATTTTTTTTTAATCATAGCTCTAAAGATTAGTTTTATTGTAATGTTCTTGTGAAACAATGAAACAATAATGTTCTTCATGAAACAATAATGTTCTTCAGGAAACAATAGTTCTTAATGAAACAATAATGTTCTTCATGAAACAATAGTTCTTGTGATACAATAGTTTCATGATACAATAGTTTCATGATACAATAGTTTCAAGATACAATAGTTTCATGATATTTTGAGCTCCATAATGAAACTCCATAACAACAGTTTCATAATATGTTTATGTAGATTAAGTATAACAATAAATATAACATCATAATATAACAAAATGAACTATGGTTTAAAAATCAACAAATTAGGAATTTTTTTCTAAAAGAAACTTAAGGAAAATTAAATAAATTGATTTTGCATTGTTTAATGGTAACTCTAATTCTTTTATTATATTTTTAAAATATGAATGAAATACGAACAAATAAATTTTTAATGGAGAATGATATTTAAAGAATGAAATTGGATTTATACTTGTTTATTAAATGTCATTTTATTATAAAACTTAACGAGGATTTCAAATTATAAAATATGAAAAAAATTTTATAATTTGAAATCCTCGATAAGTTTTATATTTTGAAAAAAATTTTTTATGTGTAATGACATATAAGATAATCTGAAGGAAATTAACTTATTGACAAACCCTTTTGTTTGACTAGGCAAAATGCTGTAAAATTTACAAATTACAAAAGTTTATTATTCTAAGTTGTGTACTGTATTGTAGTGCATGTTCTTTGTGGTGCGTTTTAATGCAATTATATATTGCATCACATAGAGAAAAACTTTCTTTATACATAAAATTTTTTTAAAAGTTTAACTTATTTTGTTTAGCAAAAAGACAAAAAATTGTAAAAGATTGCTAATTGCTTTATGTTATATTTTGTGGTTTGTAATAATTATTTTTTTTAAGAGAAACTGGAACAAAGAAAAAAATTAATACAGCTCTTAATTTCCCTGAAACTATTGACATGGGGAAGTACATAAAGTTTGACAATCCTGAAGATGGGCTCTATCATTTGTCTTCTGTGTTGATTCATCGGGGACTTAGTGCACATTCTGGTCATTACATTGCTCATATCTATGATGAAGAGGTATGGAGATGATGTGAAGATTTTTTTACTTTTATTTAAAGATTTTATATGATTTGAAAATATATGTTTTTTATAAAAAAAAAAAAAAAAGATAAAGAAATATTATTAAAAAAAGAGGATAGAACCTCATTTTTCAGTGACAAAATTTATTTAAGGGAAACAAAAGCTTAGAACCATTGTTTTAGTAAAGATCTTTAAGAATAAAACTAAAACCAAACTTTGAATTAAACATAAAGCCAAGCATTCCCAGGAAACTCATGCAGTTTTTCGTTATGTATGTCCACAAAAACGTTTTTAATTTAGACAACATGATCCTGGTCATGTGCAAGTTTTATTAATTTAGCATTTCTATACTTACCTGAAAAAACAAAGTTTCAAAAACATAGAAAGCAAAACTAACAAATGAGGAAATTAAAATAATTTTAAATAGGAAAAAAATATATATTTATATATATATTTGAATAATTTGCGTACCTTTTTTACTTTAGGATTGCTATTATTTTCAAAATTGGATACAAGGCAAAGAAAAAAAAATATTAACAGTTTTAAGTCAAAATTAAAAAGGCTGATTTTTCAATATTTTATTTGTTTTTTAAAAGAGGAAAGCAAAAATATAAATTGCTATCTGATTGTAAAATATGTTTGTAAAATTTTAATGTAACAAGTTTATATTGTAAAAAGTCATTAATACAAATGCTAAAATATAAAATATTTGGTTTTATTAACTAACCCAAGTGCAATAGCCATTATTTTTTTGTTACCAGTCATTACATAAAGTAATTCTGTCAAGTAATTCGGAACAGTTTCATGCAGGCATTTAACGTAGGCAATACATTTGTAAAAGAAACGATGCTAATTTTTTAATGAAATAAAAGGCAAAGATTTAAAGAAAAAAGGAATCGAATGCAAATTGAGTGCAAAAGCTATAACAAAATCATTAAAAAAGTTTTATCATAAATTTTGACCTTATACCTGTATATTTATTCAGATTTGTGTTATAATATGTGATTGAGGCGTATAATTGTGAGAAGCATAACAGCGCAAAAGTTTTACACAAAAAAACCATCCAACATACAAATAACTAACTTAAGAAGACAGCCGGTTATCTGGGGTCTAAAGAATGTTCCGCAAACGCTCTTCTTATCCGCGATTTTATGAGTTTGCACTAAGCAAAAATGAAGCATTAACAGTTTGGGCCTAATAACACAAACAAACCACCAGAAGATACACGTATGCAGCTATAGATGTTTTTTAACTAAAGATTAATCATAATAATGCTAAACTGAAAAATCTAACAATGAAAACACATGATGGTAATACTCAAAACCCATACCGTAGGCGAAAACTGATGAATGAGAACAAAACAATTCCATAATGCAAGGTAAGTCAAGAAACTTTATATCCTCCCCCCCCCTCCTGGACTTCAGTGAGATTCAATGGTGTTTGTCATTATGATTTTTTCTTCTATTTTAACTGCCTCTGAGTGACATTTTTAGTTTTTTGTTTTGAATACATCATTTTTGGTTTGAAATACTTTTATACTTTTAGGTCTAACAACCATAGTTGATCTAGTTAACTGTTCTGTGATTTTCTTTAATTTGAAGTAATAAAAGTTCAAGGTAAAGATATAGTTGTAAAAATCTGGTGCAAAATATGTGCTAAGCATACAACATAGTTCAAAGCAAAACATCAATTTTTGGTTGTACTAGTAATTTTTTAAACACTTTTTAAATGGAACTGGCATTGTAACACATCAGGTTTAATGTTAATAAAATATAGTACGTTATAAATAAAAAAAATAAATTACTTATGCTTTTCCATTTAATATTACTTAATTTAATAATTTTTCAGGTTAAAAGTCATTCATCAACAAAATGTCACTTAGAGGTGGTTAGAATAGAAGAAAATATCATAATGACAAACACCATTGAATCTCAAATAAAAGAATAATGACATATGAAATGGCTCTGCATCCAACTATGCTGCATAGTCATTTTGAGGTTCTTGTGAAGGTTCAACGTGATAACGATGTCAATCTGTTGCAAGGAAAATGCAACAAAAATGCAGGTATTTATATATATATATATATATATATATATATATATATATATATATATATATATATATATATTGTTTAACTATGGTATACACTACTTAAAAACAAGTAAATTAGTTTTTGTTGAAAATGCTGGTGCGCCATTATTAGAGGTGTTGATGCTGATTTTTTAAAATTGGGATCGGACAGTGTTTTTGTTTTAACCCAATATGTAAACCTAAAATTTTTAACCCAATATGTAAACCTAAAATTCCACAGTTCGACTGCAAGTTACTGTAAAAAATCGATATCGACGACAGCTGATGGAGCAAATTTTAATATGGGTATATGTAATGGTGCGCTAACTGAATTTAAAAAAACACGCCATTGATTTGTTAACATAGATTGCGTCAACCATAGATTAAAATTCACAATTAGAGATGCAATCAATCAATTTAAAGATTTTTAAAAAATTTGGGAAAACTAAAGGAGGCTTGTAAACATGCTGCTGCTGCCTTATCAATTCAATATTAATATACACAATTAACAAAATTTATGGAACTTGATTTGTATCGCATTGTGTAAAGGGTTACACAAATTTAATACATAACTGGCCATCTTATTTAGTTGCCTTACAAAATGCACTTGCAAGTAAAAAAGGTTACTGAAATAAATCATGGGCAAAAATGGATGAGTTATTAAGGAAATTAAGAAGTTTTGATATCTTGTGCAAAATTGGTGCATATTTAGATTTGCTTAATGCATTGAGTCCTTTAGCACTATTTTTCAAATGAAATGAGTTGTTGGCTTTCAAAGTTGATCCGAAAGTTAAATTTACAATAAGTCAGTTAACTTCATTAACTTTAGAGGGCGCTAATGAAGCATATAACAGCTTCACACAAAAATTCATCATAAAAGAAGACAATGTTACCATTGAATCTGAATACGTAATGGCTAGAGACCAAAAAAAGAAAATTGAAAATAGAAAATGCATTGACATCGAAGTTGATAGGGCGATAGACCCAAAGCATGAAGACGTTGAAAGAGCATTTGAAAGGAATGCAGAAACATAATAATTTCATTGCTTGAAAAGCGATTTGCTTCATTTAAGGATAATCAAGTGTTTATGTCAATGACATAGATTGATCCTAAATATAGGTCAGACGATCAAGATAATGGTTTTCAAGAAATAAAATACCTATTACAACATTTTTGTGTACCACTTGAGAAAATAAACTTCCAAAAAGCAATGGTTTTAGATGAGTGGAAATTAATACAAATAATAGTAAGAACATTTTATTAAAAGTCTCCATGTTTAGATGTTTGGAAAAATTTATTTAAATACAAAAAATCAGAATTTTCAAATATGCTTCTATTATCTGAGTTGTGCTTGTGTTAGTCTTCTTTTAGCAGCACAGTAGAAAGATGTTTTAGAACGTTGACTACAATCCTTACTGATCAATGACTTAGCATGAAACATAATATAATTGAACAGTGTAATGAAATACTAAAAGAAGCAGTTAAAACATATTTGAAAGAGTGCAGAATTGTTAAATATCAAGAAATTAACTCAAATGCTCACATCACCGTGCATCAGAAAAATATTACATTAACTATTGCAGTTGAGAACGAAATCAGTTCATCCGAAAATGAACTTTCAGGTTTAGAGAAACAGTTTGGAGCATTCAACGACAGTGACAACTCTTCCAGCAATGGAAGTGTATTATTTTTAGACGAACAAGAAGGAGAATACACTGACAATGACAATTGTTCCAATGAGGACAATCGATAATGCCAAATTTTTTAAATATCAAGTATTAATGACTTTTTATTATTTTGCAAAAACTTCTTGTTACATTAAAAAATTTATATATAAATATTTTACAAAAAATATTTTACAAAAAAGTAGCAATATATTTTTAAGTTGTTATAGGTATTGCAAAAGAAAAAATCTTTTGAAATTCTAAAATTTAAAGTTGCTCAAAATTCTTGCATAAATAACAAAATATTTTTTTAAAATACTAATTGATATAAGTCTTAAATAACTTGTGTATTCTTTCTAATGTTGTTAAATTTATGTGACTTTTTTTTCTTTTTTCTTTTCTTGTATTCAATTTCGAAAAAAACAGCCACCCTAAAAAAGCAAAAATAAAAAAAGTACAAAAATTATTTTTTCTTTTTTTTTTTAATTTTAATTTATTTTAATTTCCTATTTTGTTAGCTTTGCTTTTTTTGTTTTGGAAACTATTTTGTTAGTTTTTTCCTCAAAGTATAATATAACATAAACATTTAATATAAACACTAATATAAATGCGTAAAGTATAATATAAACGCCTAATATAATAAAATTTGCAAACAGCCGTGATTTAAAGTTGTCAAATTAAAAATGTTTTTGTGGAAACAAAAAACCACACTTGTTTCCTAGGAAGGCTTGTAAAGATATCATCAATTTCATATGAAAATGGTATGCAAAATAAATAAACCTTTTAAAAAGTTTATCAGAAATGCATGATGTGTTTTGTTACTATATTAACATAGTTAAATATTTACTAACAATTTTTTCTTTCACTAGTTTAAATTTACTTGTGTTGGTAAATAAAGCTTATATACATTTAAGAGCATCAATAGCATCTTATTTTGGCATATTAATATTTATGAGTTGTGGGTAAAAATGCACACATTTTTATGCATGCATTATTGTCATTTATCAAAACTGCTATTTGATAATTTGATAACGATTTTTATGACGCTTTAAATACTGTTTTATCATATTATAGTACGTTTGATGGAATTCAATTTAAAGCCAAAATTTTTGGTTGAAGTTTAAGCTTAATAGTTAAGGTAAAAAGTAATATAAGAAATATTTAGTTTTTTTTTTAAAGATCACTGTAGCCCTATTTGATGCAATATTGGAGTCTGTTGGTCTTGTGTTTTAACTTTTAAAAAATATATGAAAATTAAAATATAAATAGTTGGTTATACTAGCCTCCAAAAAATATTTTTGTTTTAGATGCCAACAATATTAAAACTGTTTCTTGGTAATTTGAAGAATCAGAAAGTAACATTTATTTTTTACAATTAGTTTTAATTTTCAAGTAAATATTACAAGCAAAGGTGTAAAAGCTACTAAATATTTTCTCCAATTTTCTCAAAAATTGTCACAAATTCACTTTATTATTAATATTTCACATAAATATCACACTTTTGGTGAACAAAAACTGTCAATAAATTAATATTTTCACTTCCTAAAAGTAAATAATAGAAAAATATGTTTTAGCAAGATATAGATATAATAGAAAGATTTTTTTATCTTATAGAAAGATAACTCACAGAAAGATAAGTGTTAGTTAACATCGTTGATTTTAATTTTGGGTTTAACTAATTTAACAAAATGATTGATTTTAAAATGTATTTTAAAATCAATAAATTTGAAAATTATTTATATGATAATTTATTATATTTTTTAATTTAAAAATTTAGAATAATATATGGTGTCGTTTTAATGATGAAGAGGTTACCATAATGAAGGGAAAAACATTGCAACTTGGGGTTGAAGATAATTTAGAAGGTATGTTACCTATTGTTTTATTTTTTGCTATTACCTCTCTTCTTAAGGTTATATAAAATTCTTATGCTCCAAAGAAATTTTCTAATTTAAATATTAAAGTAGTAAAAGTTGTTGTTGTGCGTTGGTAAAAGTTGTTGTTGTGCATTGGTAAAAGTTGTTGTTGTGCGTTGGTAAAGAACTCTATTATGAGAGCATTTGTAAAGAGTTATCTTATGAGATAAACCCCAAAATTTACAGCTTTATGTTTGAGTTTACTTATAAAAATTTGTTTGCAAAGTTATTTTAATGTTTTCCCTTCTTTAGATACAATCTAGAATTAAGGGGACAGGGTAGTTAAGCCTCCTAATGAAACCTAAAATATACTAATATTTGAAAAATCTTCTAAAAAGACCTAAATTCTCCTAAAATATACTTGAATTTCGAAAATTCTCTTAAAATCTCCTAATTTAAACTTGTTTTTTGAATATTAAGTTATTTTTCAAACATTTAACTTAAATTTTCAAATTTTTTTTTCTAAAGTTTTTGAATAATATTAAAATTTTGTTTGAAAACCTCTTAAATAATCTTAATTTTTTTATTTGTTTTTCCAAGTTTTGCTGTAAAATCTACTAAAAAGTCCTTTAAAATCTCCTAAAGTATCCTTAATTCTTTTAATTTTTTAACTTAAAAAAGGTGTCACCACCCTAGGGGAATACAATGTAAGTAATGGTTTGCAACTTTGTCAATAATGTTTTGCAACAAATATATATATATGTATTTTTAATTATTTATACTGTTTTTAAATAAATTTTATAATTAGAATTTTTAATAAATTCTTAAATAAAATATTAGATTTTGGTGAAACGAAAAGTAAGAAACCTCGAAAGTGTGACCAAGATACAAAAAATCACAATTCTAAAAATGCTTACATGCTTGTGTACACCAAGACTGTTGGTTGTATGTTTTCAACTTTTTATTTTAATGTTTTAAACTTATTTCTTCATAATATTATTTATTTTTGATAAAATTAAAATGATTTACAGGCTTGGACAGGACAGGAGTGGCGTGCGATCGAACGCTATTGTTGACTATGCAAATGATTTTTTTATTGATAACTTTGTTTTTTTATTTACAATTTATTGCTTATAAGCTAAACTTAAACTAGGAAAAAAAAAATCAAACCAATACAGAAAAAAAAAATTACGAATAAGAAAATATAAATGCTTTAAAAAAAAAATCAAAATTAAAGCAAAAATTTATTTTTATTATGTTTTTAATTGCGCTTGAGATAAATTACTTATCTTTTGAAATGTTTTATTAAAGTTGCGCAAAACAATTTTTCAAATTAATTCTAACAATTTTTAAATAAATGAACAAACTTTATTTAAATTACTGTAAATTGAAATTATTTTATTGAAAAGAAAAAAATTTAAAATTAAAGGCTTTTAAATAATTCTTTGTAAAAATAGAAACAAAAAAAAAACAAACAAATTAAATCATTGTAATGCAATGAAAAGGTTTTACTTTAAAATGTTCAATGAAGCTCTAATTATAATGCATTGCATTCATAAAACATTTTAGATATCTATTTTATATGGTTACTAAATCTTTCTTTTGTGTTTTATTAATTACCAATTTAAATGTAATATTGTTATATTAATGATTCATACTAAAACTCATTCAAACTTGAGTATTCACAATCAAATAAAATAGTATGTATCAATTAGAGAAACATGGATATTTCTCTAAAACTGTTGCAATTCTGTCAACTCTGTCAACTGGACATTTATTTAACCTTGTCCTTATTTGAGTAAATGTAGCGTCCAATTTCTAATAACATTTTTCTGGTGCGTTTTAATTAATCATGTTATAAAAATAAGGATTAAAAAAGCTTCCCATCCTGCCCCAAACGTGAGAGCAACAAGTTGATGAAATATTTTTTGTAGTATTTTTAACTAGACTTATATTCATCAAGAAATTTTAAATTTCTTAGTAAAATATTTTAGTGTTCAAAAGTTATGACCATATAAAGTTTGCAACCCCCTTAAATTGTGGGGGGTTTTAAAAGTTTGGAATATTCTTGTTTATAAGTTGGTTATTTTAAACGTTTTAAAACCTTCTTACCCCACTGTTCATGGATGTTTAGAAATAGTACTAGTACTAATCTAAAGTAAAAACCAATTGTATAATAATAGCAATAATATTAAAACAGTTATAACAAGGAAAATAACAATAATAGCAATGTTAACAATAATATTTATATTAATAAATGTAATCTATATAATAATAATATTAGTAACAATAATATTGATAATACTAAAACTAAATATTAAACAATAACAATAAGTCAAAATGGTATAATAGTAAAATGTTATAATAATATTTATATTACAAATAATCATACCAAAAGCAATAATATTAATAATACACAATGAGCCCAAAATTTTACAAACAAAAAAAAGTTTTAGTAGTAGAGTGTATTATTAAAGTAAATATTAAAAAAATTCCATGAATAAAAAATGGTAATTTATTCTATGGTTTTATGTATTGGTTTGTGAAAGATTTACGGCCATACTTAACTGAACAATGATTTAGGATAATTTAAGGTTACTAAAAGATGGAGGATAAAAATGAGAACTTTTTATAGAAGTTAAGAAATCACAGATTGAGAGAGGTTGGGTAACTTGCGTTTGTTTACAGACAAATCACAGATTGATTGAGGTTGGGTAACTTGCGTTTGTTTACAGACAAATAGACAGTTTAATAGATGAACAAGAATATACAGTTTGATAACCTTGGATAGAAAGTAAATGATATTAGAATTAGAACAATATTTTTGGAAGTATATTATTTTAAATGACTAATTTTTAGATAAGATATTCTTAAAAAAGTATTGGTTATAAGTAGTTTAGGGTATTGTAGAAGTGCACTTAAATTATAAGTATATATATATTAAAGTGTTTGTAGTATGTTTGAGAAATAAAATTTATATTAGATAAAAGAGATTTATTACTATCTATTTTCCTTTAGCTATATTGCTGATTTAATACAGTTTTATTGTGCTAATTGGTCAGGTGATTCATTGCTATCAAATTTACATGTTGGAAGATCATGCGATTCCATTTTTAAAAAAATGGGGTGCTGGGCTTGAATATTACAAACAAGGGGGCAAATCCATTCATCTCGAGTTTAATAAATTATTTACCATATATCGATCCCTTCTCCAACAAAAGGCTTAAAAAGTATTCTTTAATCACACCGTCCAAAACTAACCCTATAAACACCAACCTTGAAAAAAAGAAAAAATAATATATTGCAACTATGAAGTATTAAAAAGAAAAAAAAAAAGAAAAATAATAAAAAAATAAAACAGAGAAGAAAAATACTACAAATTATATAAAAATTACCAAATAGATTTTTTTCTTTGTTAGTTGCATTTTGTACTTGTACTATAATTGATATTTAATAATAATTACTTTTACTATTATCAACAATTTTACTATTATCAGCACTATATAGTAATAGTAGGTTATGACTTTTTAATTTGTACAGTTAAAAATTCTCTAAATTTATTTTAAGAAAATAAACAAATTACTCAATATTACAACAACAACAACAACAACAACGATAAAAAGCAATATATTTACCAGAAATATAGATGTTTAACATAAGCATGTTATAAATTACAAAAAATATATGTACAGGCTACATTTTGGATGGTTCACTCTAGCTAAATTGAGGAGAGCAACCATGTATAAAACAAAAACAAAACAAATAAAATAAATAAAACATGCATAGAAGGTTGGTATTAGTCAACAATCATATTTATATCATATCTAATGATCACCAAGGATGCAATTGTTTTTTCTATTTATCTTGATGTAACAAGTAGTACTTTAATTTAGTTTTAAGGACATATTTTTTAATATTGTAAGAAGGGATTGTTTTAAAATTATTTTGAATTTGATTCCAATCCATTAATGCAAAGTATTTAAAAAAATGTTTACTGTAGGATTTTTTATTATATGTTTGCACACTCAGTGCACCTCTACAAGAATAGCTTGTAAGTTGACAGCTAATTGCACTGTGTAAACTATTTATTAAATATAGAAGGTAGCTTTTTTGTTTATGCAGCTGCCAATAAATAAACAATTTTCAATTTTGATTATATCATGTACTTTTAAAATTTGTAATGCATTAAAAGATGTAAAGATGTTTTTGGTAGAAATTCAGTAATCTTGACTGCTTTCTTCTGCATGATAAACAGGTGATTCAAAATACTTATGTTTTGACTCCATAATAGAAGGTAATATGTGAGGTGAGAGTGAAACAAAGCATAGTAAATAGATTTTAGAGTTTTTTGTTGTATAAAATGTCTTTGCTTTGATAGAATGGCAAGGGATCTACTTAACTTATTAGAGACATTGTTATAATGGTAAGTCCAGGCTAAATTTTTGTCTAGCTTTATACCAAAGTAGTTTACAAATCTTTTGCACCAAATTTTTTTTTCCATTTAACTTAATTTTGAGCTGCTGGTCAACTTTTTTGTGACGACTTTTAAATAATATTAAATAAGTTTTTTTGGAGTTAAGGGAAGTTTTGTTGGCATTTTGCATAGTTTTTTTCATAGGTCTTAGTTAACATATTTGTTGATTTTTTAAATAGACATTAAAATAGAGGAGGTTTGTGTCATCTGCAAATAAAAGTTCAAGCCAAAATACAGATTAAAACATTCTAAAAGATTTTTTAGCTTATTTATTTATTAATAAAAAAAAGATATTAAGTCACTAATATGGTTGCAACATTAATTTTAACAAAATAAACTAAAAAAAAAGCAGTTAAAGCCATATAAAATTATGTAGCTAAGAATCACAGCTAAAATCTCTGAAATTTCTAAAAATTTTGGCACATGTGCATCTAAACTTAAAGCTCATAATCGACTGTGCATAATTTAAGGTTTTTAAGATTTCAGGGCCCTAATGACAGGTTGGAGGGGGGCAGATTCTTTAGCCACGACACTGGCCTACAATAATTCCTTGATCCATTGCAGGCAGTATATTCATTTTTATTTTATTCATTTATTATAAAGATGTGCACAACTTTAAAGCACTTCAAACCAAATCACACTTATGCATGTTTGCACTTACACTTTCACTTATATTAACTTATATATTACATATTAACATATATTAATTTTTTACATTATATTTATATATTAATTTATATAACATTATTTTGCAACTACTTTGCACATTCAAAAGATTCACATTTATGCCCTTTAGACTTATACAGATTCGCAGGTATGAAAATCGCACTTATTAAATGTCAATTTTATAGAATTCTTGTAGTAAATTTTATTCTATTTTATTCTTGTAAACTCCTTCTGGTTTGTATTTATTGGCGATCAAATGGATTAAACTATTTGATTACATAAATCATGAACACAGGCTCTATTAGAGGGTGGGGGAGTGGGGCAGGAGGGGAAATTTAGTGGCTTTAATTTCTTTAAATTTAGGTGTCCCATTCCAAATTTAATGATTTTTTTAGTTATAAATGTTAAAAGGAAGGGTCTTTGATATATATATATATATATATATATATATATATATATATATATATATATATATATATATATATATATATATATATATATATATATATATATATATATATATATATATATATATATACACACACACACACACACACATATTATACACACACACACATATTATATACAATAGCAAAATATCACAATATTATCAAATTAGGAATAATGATTTTTTTTGAAATATCTCTAAAGAATAAATTAGAATAGAGTTTTTATATGATGTTTAATATCATAATAAATTTATTTTATGTTTTGATAAAACAAAACAAATTTTGTCTAAAATAAATAAATTTATAATAAAATTTATTTCATTATAAATTGATAAAAATTATATTATTAAAATATACAAAAGAAAAAATACATGTTTATAAAAATAAAAATATATATTATATAAAATCTTAAAACTTTTCTTAAATAATATCTTCATAAAAAACCATCGTTATTTGATGTTTAAGTTATTTAAAACCCGTTTTATTTAAAATGTCATTTAAAACTCATTTTATTTAAAATGTCATTTATTTAAAAGTTCACTTGGTAAAAGTGTCTGCTGTTTAAAGTTAAAAAAGAAATGTGGAAAATCGTTTTAAATTTTAATATATTAGGAAAATGTAAATTCGTACAATTTAGTTTAATTCCACAATCGACCCCACCCCAAATAAACATACCTCCTTCACCCCATTATTTTTGTGTTTCTTTTTTTTTTTTTTTTACTTTAAGCAAACTTTTTTAACTTTTAGTTTCATTCTTTAAATAAAAAATAAAATCCTCTGACCCTGATTTTAGTATGAACATTTACAAAATTTTTGAAGGACAGTTGAAATATTTATTAGTTTTCCTTCTTTTACTTTTTTTCATAATAAATATTGAACATTTATAATTGTTTTTGAAATTTTATAATTGAATAGTTTTATTTTTTTTGTTTCCATAGTATTGCAATTAATTTGAGTGTTACATCTATTAGATTTAAAGAGTAACACATTTTCTGAAGTTCCAAACTTTATGAAGCAAGCTGTAGAAAAAGATAATCAGCTTTTTGACACTTGGGTTTCAGAGCAAAATAACAGCAGGGTAATAATTTTTATTAATAATATTCCTTTCATATTTAAAAGTGTATTCAAAAATTTATTAAGTAAAAAATATTTATTTATTAAAGATTAAAAAGAGAAATTTTATTTTTTATTTTTTATTCTCTAGGTATACTCCTGTTTTTTGTAATTAAATAAATTAAAAATTGTGAATTAAATTTTTTTTCTAAATTTAAAAACACTTTTATATAAAATAACATTTTTTGAAGCCACTGCTAATCTATTGTGTGTCACCAATAAAGTTCATTGTTTCCTCAAAGTATTTTTTTGAAATCACTGCTAACCTTTAGTGTATGTAACCAATAAAGTTCATTCTTTTCTTAAAGTATTTTTTCTCAAGTCAAGTATTTTATTCCTTTTTTTTTAAAAAAATTCTCAAAATTATAGAATGTTGTGTTTTATATGAGTACAGAAATTTTGTGACATACTCAGCCTGTATGCTTGATCAGCTTACATGTATAGTTTTAATAGCTCGTGCTTTGTATGCAAACTAGTAAATTGCATTATTATTTTAAATAAGGGATTTTAGAGAAAGATGAACTGTTTTGCATGTATAATTTAACTTAAATGATTAAAAATACGAGCTTATTGTTTTATTTTGTTAATGGTATAATTGAAAAATAAAGCAAGAAGTTTTATTGAAACCTACAGTAGATTTTAAAAATCTAGCTTCTTTTTTTTTTTAATTTAGAAAATTGCTATAAATGCAGGTTTGGAAAAGAAAAAGTCAATCCAAACAATATTTGAGCGCTTGATAGTTCAAAACAGTATTTTTTATTATTATTATTTTTTTTTTATTTTAATTTTTTACAAGCAATTGAATTGTATTTATATGTAATTGTTTCTGTGTTAAAATGGTTTATTTTGATTATTTGTGTTGTCTAAGAATATGTGTTGTCTAAGATTTTCTAAGGTTACTTGTGATTAGTTGGTGATTAAGGTTTAATAAAACTACTCATGGTGCCATAAAAAAACTATGCAAGTTTTTGGTTTTGAAACCAATTATTGATTTAAGGAGGTTTTTTTTTAATTTCTGTGTAAAAAAAGATAAAAATTTGATTTTTGCTTTATTTATTTTTCTTAGTGAAATTTAAAAAAATATATTAAAAATCTTGTAAAACAAGGTTTTTAACAAAAAAAGCAAGCATATGTGTTCTTGTAAAAATTATGAAAAAATATTTATAGTAGTATTGTTAAGACAAAAAAAAAACAACTAAAAATCTGCTATATAACAATTAATATTATCCTTCTTGAAATACAGATAACTTTGTTGCATTTATCATTTATCACTGCTATACAGCAGACTAGGTTTACACACCTTTATCACATATGCCTACAAATGTGGAAACAGCTGCCTTAAGTTTATATTTATCTTCTAATTTTTTCAAATAAAATTTAAAACAAAAATAATTTTAGCTTATAAAATAATCTTGGCATCTAAACTTTCCTTTATATGCTGCTAGTTTGTGATTGGTTGTTTATATGCTGCTAGTTTGTGATTGGTTGTTTATATGCTGCTAATTTGTAATTTATATGCTGCTAGTTTGTAAGTGGTTTTGACACACTGCCTTTAAAAATTGTTAGAGCATCAGATCAATATTAATTAAAAATATTTTTTTTTAATTAAAAAATATCTCTTATAACTTGTATCTTAAATCCAATAATTTGGCGACTTTAAAAAAAAATAATTTTATTTTTAGATGAAAGTTTTGAATGGATTTCAGTTAAATGGTTAAAAGAATGGTTGAATCATGAAAACAGATTGGTTCCACCAATAGATAATACTGAATTAATGTGTATTCATGCATTTGCTGATCCCAATAAACTAAATCAAATGAAAAGAATTTCTTTTGAAGCTGCTGAGATTCTTTTTGATAAGTATGGTGGGTTGCCTCGTCTGAAATCAATTTGTGCTGATTGTTTAGAATTTGAAAAAAAAAAAGAAGAATTTGAAGAAGAATTAAATGAAGATATAAAGATATTAAACTATCTACTGAAACCAAATAATAAGTGCGTAGTTTTAGTTTGAAATCTTTATTGACAAAAGTAATGGTTGTTGTTTCATGACTTAGTAGGTTATTATTTTGATGGAAGTTTTAAATAAAAAATTTCAAATAATATATATATATATATATATATATATATATATATATATATATATATATATATATATATATATATATATATATATATATATGTATATATATATATATGTATATATGTATATATGTATATATATATATATATATATATATATATATATATATATATATATATATATATGTATATATATATATATATATGTATATATATATATGTATATATATATATATATATATTTATATATTTTAAGGTAGAGAGAGTTCTAAATATATATTTAGATAGACCCTATGACAAAAAGTTGTCACTTTTTAACTGCTTAGAACAGGCAGCGGATCAGCAAAAGAACAGCAAAAGCTGATGAATTTTTAACCAATTAATAATTAGTTGTTACTACTAATAGTTATCACAATATTGATAAATACAGGAATATATTATCAATATTCCTATATTGATAAATACAATATTCCTATATTGATAAATAGCAACACTCTTACTTTGTCTTCTTATTTTGGACTATCATTCATTACTGTCCTTTCATGGAAAGTATTTATACAATTGATTACAAAGTTAGAATCTTAGAATACAAAAATAATAATGTAGTTATGTACCATTCCAAATACTGGTAACAATTACTTGATAATATCGTTAATAATGTCATGGTGGTGCAGTGGTGTAGCTCTAGCTTAACCCCTAGTACAGTGCGCAACATATTTCTCTGTATAATAGCTTATTTTAATATGGATTGTATTTTAAATTGAGTCATATGATTGAGAGTTGATTGAAAAAAAAACATTCATAAAAGTCTGCTTATGATTTAAAAATCTAGAAGCAATACTTTTAAAGCATGCTTTTGCATTACTTAGTAATATATATAAACAGCAGTTAGTTAAGTGAGAAATTTTTTAGTTTAACTTTGTGTAAAATGCTCATGTTTTTATAATCTTTTTGATTTATTAATAAGCTGTTTGCATTTAAATATTTTATGATATTGTTTTTTATTTCTTAGTATTCATTAATTTTATAAACAAATAAATATTTTTAGAGTAAGTTTAGAGAATGGAAAGAGCTATTGGGTAGGAAAAAAATCTTTAAAGAAAATTAAGTTATTAGCACAACAAGAGTTTGTTAAATGCAAAACATCGGTTTGTCAAGCAAATGAAGAAACAATTGGAAAAATCAATGTGGAAATTCACGGAAAATCTAAGATTGAAAATTTTAAAAGTGTAACATTTTTTAATGAAGACTGCTTATGTTCACATGGTATTTTATAATTTGTTTACAAAAAGAAGTATGAAATAAGGTTTACAAAAAGATATATAAAATAAGATTTACAATTTAAGTTATGTAAATGTATTATATCAGTTTTTCAATAAGTCAAATGATCTCTTTTTCTATTAATTTCACCCTCTTATCACATCAGTCTCGCCCCTCTATTATTTCACCACCACTCTCTTTCATTTCACACCACCTGCTATCATTTAAACAGAGGCTTTACTATCCTAATATTTTCCATATTAATTTGCATTTGTTAAAATGTTTGGTATTAGTGTCATTTTTTTTAAGATTCTAAACTGATTTTTTTAAATTGTTTTTATAAAAAAATAGTTTTGCTTATATAGTTTTTCACCACATCTGCTCAAAGTGACATAAACAGTTAATTTTGTTGTTTTGATATTTAAAATATTTAAAAAAATCACCAGAGCAAAATTAATAACTGTATAATTTGGTTAATGACTCATGAAATATTCTGTGAAAATTTTTGTTATTGTTTGTAATAATAATTGAAGTCAGATTAAGAGTAAGGTTTCCGGTTTAAACATTTTCAAGTTAAAAAATATTCAAGTTCAAACATTTTCAGATTTGAACATTTTCAGGTTTGAGCATTTTCAGGTTCCAATATTTTCAGTGTAAACATTTTCAGGTTCGAAGATTTTCAGTTTCGAACATTTTCAGCTTTGAACATTTATAGGTTTAAATGTTTTCAGCTTTGAAAAGTTTCAGGTTCGAATGTTTTCATGGTGGAACATTTTCAGGCTTGAACATTTTCAGGACTTGAAAATTTTTAGGTTAGCACATTTTCAAATTTGAAATTTTTGACACAATTTTCCTCTAAAAGTAAAAACATTACAAATAAATTAAAATTGCTAGCTTTGTTTTCTTATTATTTTTTTATTAATTTTTTTTTAGTTAAAGCAAAAACATCATATCTTATTATAAAGTTTGTTTCCTCAAAAATAAAATTTTGAATCAATAAAAATAAAGGGAGGTAAATTTATTTTAAATTTATCCCTCAGAAGTGCTCCTAAGTTTAGACTCAAGTTTTAGAATGCAAAGTTTTCTCAAAACAACTACTACTCTCCTCATAATTGACTACTCTCCTCATAATTGGGTTGTTTTAAAAGAAACAGGATTATTTCTTTGTAATTATTCCCTAATATTATTAGGAAACTTTTCCGGATTTTCAAATTTCCTTTATGATTTTTTTTCCATTTATAAGTTATTTTCAATCTAATGAAATACTTTAACCACAAGTTGTGAGTTTTAAAAGCTCTTGTGAATTTTTACCTTTCTTAACATCTTTTCCACCTTTTATACTTTTTATATATATACATTTTTATAAGTAGTCTAAGTAGAATATGTTGTGTTTCAAAAATTTTCCAGAAGAAAGCATTTCTTGTTTAAACATTTTTAAAATACGTGTCATTCAGAACTTGCTGCCATGAAATTTAAACTCAGTTAAAATTAATCACTATTCAATCAAATTTAACTCTTATTTTAATAAAAACTTGTTTTACAAGAGTAAAATTTTTGACATTTTGAAAAGTCAATAAAAACATTTTCATACAAGTTTCTCCTTCATCTTTATCTCACTTAATGTAACTGCTACTAAGTATTTTATATAATTACTCAATTGCATTGTTTACTTTTTAAAATTATAATTTAAATCTCAGGAGACCTATGTATATCAGAAGGTTCACGAAAACTTGTTTCAGAAGAAGTGTGGTGTAAATGTAGAAAATACTTTCCAAAAGCTCCTGAATTTTTATCGTGCGCACAACCATGTGAATTATGTGCTGTAAGTTTGTTTTTTTAGGTATATATGACTGAGTTCTTAAATGTCAAATATTAACATGAATGTTATTTGCAGCATTTTTTTAAAATTATTTAAAAGTATTATAAGAAGTATTTTTTTAAAGGGAAAATAAAAGTTTGCTAACCAATAAAGTTTAAAAACACTAGCAAGTTTTGACTGTTCAAAACTTCATTAAAAATAATACATGCAATAAGTCGCATCAATTTTAAAAAAAAAAACACGCAAAAACATATATATCAACCCTCGGAATTAGGGTCGGCAATGTCGAACTAACTGCCGACCTAAACGTATTTGCTGTTGGCAAAAAAAATCAGTTTTGCCGACCTTGTTTAGATGTTTTATGGTAAGACCTTTGTATTTGCCAACCTGATGCCGACCTCTAAAGGATTGAGGTCGGCAAATTATTGCCGACCTTAATTTTCCTAATTCCGAGGGTTGTAAATATATAGCAAGCAAAAACATGTTAGGTTAGTGTTAGGTCCACTTTTGTTTCTGATTTATATAAACGACCTTCCAGACAACATGCATCATATAAAGATCTACGCAGATGATTGTAAGACTTTAGGGGTAATCAAAGCAGAAGATGATGCAATAAAACTACAACAAGATTTGCAGTCAAATGGTCTAAAAAGTGACTCATGCATTTCAATCTAGACAAATGTAAAGTTATGCATGTTGGTCACTCAAATAAATCAGTACGCCTTTACTCAATGCTTGACATATATGGTAATCGAATAGAACTTGGAACAACAATTATTGAATGTGACTTAAGTGTTCTAACATCAAACCACCTTTAAGTTAAGCATCAAGTAGAAGCTGCAGCAGCTAGAGCAAACCAAGTACTTGGCAAACTAAAAAAATCTTTTCAGACAAGAGGGCTAATGTTATGGAGGGTACTCTACACAACATACATCAGACCTCATCTCGAGTATGCCATCCAAGCCTGGTCTCCTTACCTAAAAAGTGACATAAAAGCACTTGAATGCATTCAACAGCAAGTAACAAAGGTGATAAGCGAGATAAAACACATAAGCTATGAGGAAAGACTGGCCATACTCAATCTTACCACTCTAAAAGAGCGCCAAAAAAGAGGGCGACCTTATTCAACAGTATAAAATTAGTAACGAAATAGAAAAAATAGACTTTATAGTTCCTCAAGTATATGCCCAATCGCTATCAGATTATAACTTGCGTGGACATAACCAGCGACTATCACGGCAAATTGTGAAATCTTGCCAAGAACAAGATAATTATTTTACTAATCGAGTTGTTAACAACTGGAATGGGCTACCAGCAAATGTAGTCAATGCAAGTTCTACAAAGTCGATTTGATGCATTTTCAAAGCTAACCAGGTACACTGTGTGTCCTAAATTTCGTCATCATAGTGGTGCCTGATGCTGCACCACTTCATCAAAGTTTACAATTCAAACTTTTTTCTTTTATGATGGTTTTTTTTTGTTTTTTTTTTTAAATGGCTCGTAAATTTATGATTTATGAATAAACAAATTCATATATATATATATATATATATATATATATATATATATATATATATATATATATATATATATATATATATATATATAGATACATACATACATACATACATACATACATACATACATACATACATACATACATACATACATACATACATACAGTAAATTCCCGGTTATTGGAACTGGCACTTATTTGAATTTCCTGCTTATTCAAAGAAATTTTAATTCCCAGGGAATTTTTCTTAACAAACCCATGCAAATACCATCAGTTCTTCGAACACGCAGTAATTTGAAATTTTTTTTATTCAAAACAATTTTTTACTCCCCTTGACGAAAAACCCTGTCAGTTATTTGATGTTTTTGTTTGTTTTAAGATAGCATTCCATTGCATTTAAAAAAATGTTATTAAATGTTATCAAAATATTATAAACAAAATAATGTTATTAAAATGTAATTGAAAATCAAAGACATAGTAGTGCGGTCGAAGTTTCAACATGGCATCTAAACAAAAGAAAACAACTCTGACCATCAAAAAAAAAATATCTTGCTTTTAAACATTTAGAAAATAGACTAGTTAAAAAATTGTTGCAAAAAAGTTGAGTGTTCCTCAAAACACTTAAACTAACTGGATCGCGCATAAAAAAGACATAATTAGCCAGTATGAGTCAGGTCAATTTGAAGCAAAATGACAAAAGTTAAGTTTGGGAAAGCATGATTCTGTTGATAAAGCTGTATATAAATGGTTTATGAGCGCACGTGAACGAAATGTACCAATTAGTGGACACATCATTAGAGAAAAACCTTTAGATTTTGCAAAAGAACTCAACATTGCAGGTTTTAAAGCTTCAGAAGGGTGGCTTGATTGGTGGAAAAATAGACATAATGTTGTTTTTTGAACTATTTTTGGCAAGGAAAGGTCATGTACAGCAGAAAAGACTTCAAGTTGGGAGCAAACCCATTTGCCCACTATCCTCTCAAGGTATGAATGGAGAGATGTTTACAGCGCTGACAAGTTTGGTTTATTTTATCAACAGCCACCGACAAAAACCTTTCATCTATAAGGTCAGTACTTGTTAGTACAAGTCCTGGATGAAAAAATCTTTAAAATTCCTGGATGAACTCTAAAATCTTTACTGATTATGTAAAAAGACTTGACACAAAGTTTAATGCTGAGGGTAGAAAAGTTGCACTAATCATAGATAACTGCCCAGCTTATCCTTATGTTGAAAATCTCAAAGCAATTGAATTAGTATTTTTACCACCAAACATAACCTCCAAAACGCAACCAATGGACCAGGGAGTCATATGGGCATGGAAGACTTTTTATTGCACAAATGTTGTGAGGCATCAGATAAAATACATTGATGCTAGTAAAACGACCCAAATATCAACATTCTATAAGCTATGAACATGTTGGTCAAGTCATGGGATGCTGTATCAACTAATACTGTAATAAATTGTTTTAGAAAGGCAGGGGTCTCAAAGAAAATTCCGGTTGCAACTATAAATGGTGAAGAAGATCCTTTTGAATTGCTTGAAGAAAATGTCAAAGAGCTTATATCACATGGCTTAGTAGAGAAAGGTTTTGCTGTTGAAGATTACAGAAACATAGATTTTGATATTTGTACAAGCGAAGCAATCGCTATCACAGATCGAGAAATTCTGGATTCCATTTTAATCAACAATTGTACTGAGGTAGATAAAGAGATGATGAGGAGATGATGAGGTAGATGAGCAGATAGACAAAGATTCGAACAGTTTGCCTCCCATATAGCCAAAATTATCAGAGGTTATTTTTATAAATTTGATACAGCGTTTTGATGAAATTGGGAATTTCTCAAAATGATTCCCAATCATCACCCACCCAATAAAATGTGTTCTGTAAATGCGTTGGGTCCTTTTCTTATTTTCTTTCCTCTTCTACTGCGCTTTAGTGCTGCCTATATTGATTAGACAGCCCTAAAAATAAAATAAAGCTATTGTCTGTAATATTTATTGAAGATGAATATGAAATCAACACAAAATTAAATTTGTCTTCATAACGACACAGCAAATTAAACTCCAGTTTCCAAATATATATTAAGAGTTATGTATTTTTATATTATTTTAATCAGTGTACATTAGTTTATTCTTATTAAGAATTATATATTTGATTTATTTTTAATCTTAATATATCACTGCCGCTTTCATTTTAAGAGTATTTTTTTGAATATATATTTCTTTTTCACTGGTGGGCATTTGTGTAAGTGGATTTCTTTTTTGATACACAAGCAAATTGAGGCAAATAAAAATAACACTAAATGCCTGCAATTTAAAATTAAAGTAAATATGATTTGCAAATCTTCAATTTTTACTGATTACCATAATTACCTTATTTACTATAATATTACTTTTTTTTATTTTTTTATTTTAATTCACCTCCTCAAGGCCGAGAAGCCACTACATACGAGGAGGCTACTTATTTGTGGCTATAACCCTCTCTCAACTCTATAACTCCGAAACACGAACCTTGACAAACAAGGCCGCTGCGCGGAGAAACGAGTTGAGCGCGGTACTACCAGGGACGTGGTGGGGATCGAACTCGGAACCACTCGTTTATGAAGCAAGCGCTCTACCACTACACCACTACCGCATATAATACTTATTAAATAATTACCATAAACCTTGTCCATAAAAGAAGTTTAACTAATAGCTAGAAGCAGGAGATTATTGGCTCTTGTGTGCAGAGATTTTTAATATAGGGATTTATGTTCTATGAAAATCTCCACGGAAGAGAGTCAATGATCTTCTACTTCCAATTATTTAAATTGAACCATAAAATATTATTTTGACTATGGTTCATTCAATTTGCTTTTATGTTTTAAATTCAAGCAAGCAGTAAATATAGTTTTGTTTTTTCAATTTCTAGTACCTGTTTGTTGTATTTTGTTTACATTTTAATACATGTATTTAATTTACATTTTCAATACAAGCAAGCTGTAAAAGTAAAAAAATCTATTTTTCTTGTTAAATAAATTTCTAGTACCAGTTATATTATATTTATATTTATTTATATTATAGATATATATTTTTTTGTATTTAACTTATATTTCAGAGGTGGTTTTTTAAAAAAGTTAGTCAAAAAATAATAATGCTGATAAATAAAAAAAGATTATAGTTGATGCGATCTCATTATTCAGTTAATATATATAAAAAAAAAAGAAAAACAATAGCTAAGGGACTTATCATAATATCTGGATTGATCAAAATTTCAAAAGTATCTGACATAAATGGCATCTCAATATTTTAAATAAACTTTGTTGACAAAACACGTGAACTACTTGAAGTAGAGTTTTCAGTGAGATTTAATAAGTAATTTGAATTTTTGGTAGAACTGCGAACTCTAAATTTTCAATTTAGAGTTTGGAGTAAGACAAATTTTGAGATAAAAGTTTTACAAGCAAGTTGCCAAGAAAATCCATAAAATTGCTGGAAAATCCCAATTCTTTTCCCAAGAGACATTCACAGTTATGCAATCACATGGTTGTACCAATAATGGCGATTTTAAGTTTTACTGTTTGTGTTTAATAAAATTTAATTTTCAATAATTTTCAGATTTATTATTAAACTTTAATTTGTGATTTGGCAAACTTTATTTAAAGAATGAGATTTTTTTACATATAAATTGGAAATTTTAATTTTAGGAGCATTTAGGAATACTGCATTTGATGGGACCCCACAGGGCTAGTTTACACCCAGTATATATGTGTGTGTATGTGTATATATATATATATATATATATATATATATATATATATATATATATATATATATATATATATACACATATAGATATAGATATAGATAGATAGATAAGATAGATAAGATAGATATAAATAGATAGATAGATAGATAAATAGATCGATGGATAAATAGATAGATTGACTGACAAATAGAGATAAAAATAATTGTCTTTGGCAGATTATTACATCTGGCTACTGCTTTGTAAAAAACCTCTCAGACAAAAACTTTAGGGATAAGCAAAAACTGTAGGCCAGCCTTGCACTCCTTTTTCATTAATAGGCTGACATGAATTTAAAATTTTACATGAAATGTTTCCTACTTTAGATAATGAAATCTAAATCATCTTCACTCCTGTGTTGTTTCTCATCTATATTAATGATCTTCCCAATAGTCTCACTCCTAAAGTGGCACCTAAATTTGCTAAATGAAACAACCATATACTTTGGTCAAAAAGGTTATCAGATTTTAATTGTTTAGAAATAGCGAATCTTGAATGTGATCTTTCTTCTAAGACAACTCCTGTTTTCTTACTCCTTATTTTATTCTATAGCTCTATAAATATCTCATTCATCCTTGTATGAAATACTGTTTTCATAATTGGGCTGGTTTTTCTGGATATGCTCATTCTCTTTTAGACATAATTCAAAAGTTCATTTTAAATGTAGTTGGAACTGCCCTAGCTTCCAAGCTTGTGATTTAGTTCCGTTTGTCATATGGTTACGTCTTTTTCAATTTTCTCTAACTAATACCATGGTCACTACTCAAGCATTGCACAAACTCCTTTTGTTTCGAAACAAAACTTTTGTTCTACCTATACTCAATCTCATTGACTCATCAAAGTTGCAACCTTTTACTGTAAATGTTCCACCATGCTTTAAAATCTTTTCTAAATCTAGTTTTTTATTTCAAACACAATACTTTAAAAGACCTGTTTTCATGTTTCCTTCACGTATGCAGTTTATAGTTTTTAAAGTCTTCTCTCAACTGTGTTTCTTGTTATTTAACTTTCATGTTTGCCTATATTCTATTATACCTATATTATATACAGATAGAGTTTGGTTTATTTAGCATATAACTATTTTCATAATGCAGGATTCAAATTAATAATAAAAATAATAAAAAATCCTGATTCTGATAACAATACTGATTGTGCAAAAAGTGACCGATACCAATGCCAATTATTCAGTATATTCAATTATACACTAATTACATCAGACATTGTCCAGTAAGAGAACATCTATCGGTCATTTTGTCCGACCCATATTTTATGTGCGTTTATTTTCTAATCATTTTAGTTGTTCCAAAATTATTGATAAATTCAGTATTGTATATAAATTTTATTTTTTACAAAAAACAAAAATTGAAGTTAAACACATGGCTGCGTTAATAAAATATGTTATTATATACATTTTTTGGAGTTAATTCATTTAAAAGATGACAATATATATATATATACATACATACATACATACATACATACATACATACATACATACATACATACATACATACATACATACATATATATATATATATATATATATATATATATATATATATATATATATATATATATATATATATATATATATATATATATATATTTTATATATATATATATATATATATATTTATATATATATATATATATATATATATATATATTTATATTTATATATATTTATATATATTTATATATATTTATATTTATATATATATATATATATATATATATTTATATATATATATATATATATATATATATATATATATATATATATATATATATATATATATATATATATATATATATATATATATATATATGTATATATATATATCTCCACACCTGCAGAAGTCAGTTTACACTGGCAAAATAAAGCCCATGCAAGATACAATTATTATACTATTAAACAGCAGAATTTATTATTATGTTGTTTAGTTTGAGTCATATTTTACTCACATAAGCAAAAATTGTAAAAAGCATCTAACGCAACGTAAAAAGCATCTAACGCAAAAATTGTAAAAAGCATCTAACGCATTTAAAATAAATAAAATTTAATAGTTTTAATATTTTTATAATTTAATAATTTTATAACATTAACTTTATTAATATAATTTAAATTTATAATTTAATATTTTTAAGTATTGCATAATTAAGCAATAATAAAAAAAATGTTTATTCATTATTACATTTTTTTAAGCGTCTTTAAGGTATAAATGTTTGTTATTGAAGATTTTTTAAATATTTTGACTAAAAATTAATTTTAAATAATTTTGATTGAAGTTCATATGACCAGTTTCATGTAAATCAAATTAAAAAACATATAAAAATTTTTTCTTATAATTACTCTTTTGCTTGGAGCTATTTTAATATGATTTTGAAATTTTTAAAATTAAAAAGATTTGACAAAAAAGAATAACTAATGAGCTTTTTTATATGAAATAAGGAAGAAATTTGAAGCAAAATAATTATTATAAAATAATCAATCTTTTGAATAAAAATGCAATCTAAATATATACTAAAATAGAGTTTAAAAATTTTTTAACTATATAGTTATAAAAAAACGTTTCAATGGATAAATATATAGTTATAAAAAAGCGTTTCAATGGATAAATATATAGTTATAAAAAAACGTTTCAATGGATAAATATATAGTTATAAAAAAACGTTTCAATGGATAAATATATAGTTATAAAAAAACGTTTCAATGGATAAATATATAGTTATAAAAAAACGTTTCAATGGATAAATATATAGTTATAAAAAAACGTTTCAATGGATAAATATATAGTTATAAAAAAACGTTTCAATGGATAAATAACAGAAAACAAAGATTGTTTCTCGTCAGTCTCTCATATGAAATATTACAGTGAAAATAAAAAATCTAAAATACTAAAATGTTATCAGTTATCATAATTATTTTATTTTCATCATGAGCTTTGGTATAATAGCATAACAGCCTGAAAAATGCTCCCTATCCTCCTAAGACTATCAGCAGTGGTTGCTTGCATTGCCCACTAAGTAGTAATTTGCACTCCTAAAGTTTTTAAATGTTGAACAAATAAAAAAAAAAAAAACATAAAAACAACGTAACAAAGCAATGTCTAATGAAAATAACTAGAGTTGTAATAAAAATGTAGGTGATACTTCAGCAGATTTAGGTGATAGTATGTTTTGCTTGTTCTTTATTTCTTAAAATGCCAACCCTATTATATTTACTTTAAGAATTAGATAAATGGAAAAAAAGAAAATGGCCAAATCCTAACACCCAAGTTAAAGTATATGAGAGTATATTGTATTCTTATTTTAGCACTTTCCAGCATATTTTTCAGCAAAAGATAAATATATTGTAGTGGTTAAGCACTTGTTTTCAAAAGTTATAGGTTTTAAATTTCAAAAGATATAGAGTTTGAATCCTATCAAAACCTGGCAGTACAGCACACAACTTATTTCTCTTTTTTTTTAATCTATTTTTTACAAATTTATCTGTATGAATAATAATGCATATAGTAAATATAAAAAACTTTTATTTTTTTAGATAAATAAAAGTACACACAATGAAGAAAGCGCAGCGTTAAAATTATTAGCTGTTCAACAAAAGCAAGCGTTGCATTTTCTACTTGAAAATCCGATTAATCGAATGGCACAATTAATGCAGCAGGTTATTTTTATATATTATTTTATTTGTTAAATTTTAAAAATCATTAATAATTGTTATTATTTAATTTTTATTAAAGAATGGAATTTATCATATTATCCAATATTCCTTTATTGATGCATGGAAGAAAAGTTTTAGGTTTATTTTTTTGTTTGTTTTCCCTATTTTTTTTGTTTACTCTGTACTATATTTAATTATTTAAATATTTATTAGTAATCTGTTGCAAGTCTGTAACTTACTGTGTGTGTGTGTGTGTGTGTGTGTGTGTGTGTGTGTGTATATATATATATATATTTATATATATATATATATATATATATATATATATATATATATATATATACACACATATTATAACAGAAGCACTATTAGACATTCTCTAAATATATGAAGTTGCTGTTTTAGTTTAAAAATAATGTTAAAGTAGAAAAAGTGCATTTAATAGCGCTAGAATATATATATATATATATATATATATATATATATATATATATATATATATATATATATATATATATATATATATATATATATATATATATATATATATATATATATATATATGGGTGTTTCAAAAAAAAGACTTTTTAAAATTTCAACTAACATTGCTTTTCATATGGTGCCCCACCATTGATATTACTAAAAAAAAAATTTCATCACATTTGGACCACTCTATCAGTCCGCGCAATGGGTCCCAAGTTCATTTTTTTAAGCCGTTTTTTAGTCAAGTTGTGGGGACCCTTCCCATGGATCAATTTTGAAAAATTAAATTTTTTTAGGCAATTAGAATAAGAATTAAATTAAAACCCAATGTTAAGCTTTATTTGTTTGAATAATGGGTCAATTAAACAACTACATTTTTCGAAAATGTTGATTTTTCGCCTTTTTTTGCTCTTTGATAAGGTCTTTTTCAGCGCCTTCGGTGTTTACAGTCGGACTTGTTTCTCAATATTTGACATTTAGCAGCATTTGTTATCTTTCAATAATGCCAGAACATAAAAAAATAAAGTACCAGAACATAAAAAATAAAGCACAAATATTTAGAGAGAAACATTTTCGAAATCAGTTTTCTTCTTTCTCTTTCTTCCACTCTTAAACTTATTAGCTACAAGGAAAGTGTTCTGCCTCTTCTTTTCCTTGTGGGATTTGTTGATCAGCTCCTAGTTAAAAATAAGTTATGCCTGTTGAAATTACCTTTATAATTTCTACAATAGGTTTAAATTTGATAATTTTTTAAATTGTACCTGAACGAGTTTCACAGCTCTCTCACTGCAATCATTAACTACTTCCAAATTTTTGACAAAATGTTCAAACTCCAGATAATAATCATTCAGATTCCATGTCTCAACAGGAGTCTTTAACCACTGTAACTCTGCCTTCCCATGGTTCAAGAGATTAAATATGAGCCAACTCTGTTCATTTAACAGTGAAACCAAGCTAGGAGGATTATCCTGACAAAAATCCAGATTGTTTAGCAATTCAAAATCCACATGCTGCCTTTGTACAACATAATTCTCAGGCCTTGACATGGAATACAGCTTCTTAGCAATCTCGCCACGGTCATGGACCTCCTTATCAGCTAAAGCCATTGCAACAGCGGTAGGATCAATGTACCAGGTGTGTCTCTTCAGTGAGTCAATAACAGGTTTTGCCTGCTCAGGTTTGACATCAGAGTACCTTATCATCTGCCACAGAGCTTTCATATCCTAAAAAATAATCTTTAGATAGCAAAATACTAAAAAAAATAATTTTTATTTAAACTTTGTTACATTGTGAATAATAAGGAAATAAAAATTACAGTAAAAAAACCTGAGAGGGAGCAATTGCTGGAATTTCCGCCCTGAGAAACCATTCAGTGTAAAACACTGCAGTGAAGAAGGCCATATCTTTGACTTCTTTCTTCTCATGGGCCTTGAGATTGGGAATGTTATCCATTAGAAGGAACATCTTCATAAAGTATATTCCTTTCATCAAAAACCGGGCATGACTTACAGGTCCAGGTTTTCGGAGTCTGCACTGCACATCTCCAGATAGCACCATTACTGTGAGTTCGGCTAACTCAAGATAATCACACCTGCTTCCATTCTAAATGTAAATACTTATTTTTATAATAAGCAATTAATCAAATTGAATTTTCACATTTAAAGAAGTCATAAAAAATTAAGATTCATTTTTTACATTTTCAGTTTGATATCTGATACTAATAATTTGTTTATTTTGCAAAGCGCCAGGAGCTATTCACATTAAATAAGTTATTATTATTCTAAACTGTGATTTACCAATTAATGGATTTTTATTTATTTGACAGCTGTTTAAACTACTTTAAATCACATTAAAATTCATTTATAATTTAAAGTACTGACCTTCTTCATCTTTTCCATCTTTATAATGTTTTCAGAGAACTCCAAAGCTTTCTTGAATTGATCCTGCAACCATTTGTCAGTAATATCCTCAATCTTCATTCTGTTTAGTACAGTAGAATCATGATCCAAAGAGTTCCAAACAAGCTTAAGCCTTTTTAAAAAAGGATTGTCTGGTCCATTTGTGTTACTGCTGGGATAGATGTTCCAACAGTGAACAATGTGACTTTCATACACATGATGTCTGCATGCTAATAGAAGTAGAGGCCTTTCAACCTCTGTAGCTAGTTTAATGCATACTCCTTTCTGTTTACCAGTGTTAAAATTAGTTGTATCAAAAACACATCCGTGAAACTTGTCAGTAACCTCAAATTGGTTAAGAAGTTCCAAAATCGCTGTTTTCTGCTCCTCTCCTGTACTTGAAGTTCAATGTGGAATACCAAGTAGCTCTGTCTGTCCATTTATCCTAATTAATACTGCAAGTCTGTGATGTTGCAACTCTTTCCCATCTGTGAATTCTTTAACAATCTTGCTATCAAAGTGTAGAATTATTGGGGATACTGATGACTGGGCAAGAGTAAAAATTTGTTTTCTAATCTTCTCTCCTTCTTTGGTCAAAATTTTTTCTACAGCTCTAAATCATGTTGTACTGGACACAACAAAGTTTGACACAGAACCTCCAGAGTTTGCAATGATACTGGACACAATTGCAGTGTGCTGTCTAGCAGACAGTCCCTCTCCTATAGCAGTAAGTGCTGTTTTCTGTAGAATATCTTTTGGAAGGAGAATCGATGAGCCAGATTCTTCTTTGTCAATACCTGCTTCAAAGTTTGAGTCAGAGTTACTATCATGACTACTTGCAGAGCTGAAATGTTAAGATCATTTGCAGTGTCTCCTGCACTTTTTGTGGTAGTCAAATGCTTCTTCTGTGATCTGAAAGCATATGAAAAACTTTTATCTTTTGTTCCAATTATTCCTTTCCGTTATTCCAGCTGATCCAAGATAAAAGCAATATCTTTCTCTTTTGCTCCATAAGTCCTCTTCTTATCTTTCCTGATCAATCAGTTCTTTAGGATTTCTACTTATCCAAAAGCATTTCAGAAGATCCTGAAGAAAATTTTTTCTTAACTTAGTATTTGATGGACCATTTCTGTGACGACTCTTCTTTAACATGTTGTAATAATCCACTGTGTTCTGAATCTTCACCCTATACATTGCAAATAAAAAAATTAAGAGAATTTCCATTTTAAGAAAATACCCACCTTAAACAATTAGTTTTAAATAAATACTTTATATACAATGTATAGAACGTAATAAAATGACATAAATGTTTCTACTGTGTAAATATAAATTGTAAGTTGAACTAAAGGTTAAAAAATACAGTACTTTTTTTAAACATAAAAAAAAATTTGAAAGGTTTGCCTTATATTGTCCATTGTTATTAGAGGAAATCCAGCTAGATTCCATGGGCCAACCAATTTAGACATTACACAGCAGTGGGTGTTCTCTACAGGGCATTGGAGCTCAAAAGAATTTTGAGCTCCAATGCCCTGTAGAGAATTGAATTGGCACTTGATTAAATCTATTTGCTTGGTGCTTGGATTTAGCTTTCTAAGATGTAGGTAATACTGCAAAACATCTTTGCCAGTTGGAAGCTTATTGCTTGGGAGAGTCTCGCTAGTTTTTTTCACAAGAAATATTTCTGATGTGTTTCTAGTACGTTTTGATGTTTTATTTAGAGGCATTTTTTTTTTTTTTACTATCTGAATATATATATATATATATATATATATATATATATATATATATATATATATATATATATATATATATATATATATATATATATATATATATATATATATATATATATATATATATATATATATACAGGGTGGCCCAGAAGTCACTTTACATTTTAAAAATTAAATAACTTTTTTTTAAATGACTGTATTTAATTAATTCTTTTCTATTACAAAGCTTAGAGTGTGTAAGTTAGTTCTGACTTAGTCACGAATGATAATGTCTCTTAAATAGCCTCCATTCTCATCTTCACAAAGTCAAGCTCTTTCTAAGCTATTCTCCATGACACTTCTTAATATCTGAGGTTGTAGGGAAAGAATTTCCTGTCGTATGTTTGCCTTAATTTCTTGAATAGTTCGGGGCTTATTTGCATACACTTTGTCTTTAAGATATCCCCAAAGCCAAAAGTCCGGAGCTGTCAAATCAGGAGAACGTGGAGGCCATTCAAAATCGGAATTAAGAGAGATTATCCGATCCTGAAACATTGCAGTTAACAACTGCATTGTGGCTCTAGCAGTATGTGCAGTTGCTCCATCTTGTTGCCACCAATACCCTGCCATGTTTACTAACTGTGGTTGAACAAAATTCACTAGCATGTCTCGATATTTCTCAGCAGTTACAGTCACAGCATTTTCATTTTCATCTTCAAAGAAGAAGGGCCCAATAACCCTTTCTGATGTTACTCCACACCATGTTGTGACTTTAACCGGGTGCAATGGACTCGCATGAACTTGGCGTGGATTTTCGGAGTCCCAGAATCTGGTATTTTGCTTATTCACATGTCCATTCAAATGGAAATGAGCTTCATCTCCCATGATCAACTTGTGAATAAACTCATTGTCATTTCTTGCAGTTCTCTGAAACCTGACAGCATAATTTAGTCGTTTCTGAAAGTCTGTTGGTTTTAAAGATTGCACTAATTGAACCTTGTAAGGGTACATGTGCAAGTCTCTTTGAATGCGATGCAGAGAACTC